AGAGAATCCGGCACTGTTCCCCTTCACTGAGAGACACACTTGTGGCCATTGAGAAATGAAAAGTCTGAAAGTGATAAACCTATTTAACAAGTTGTAATTCTAGGTTCGAAGCAGTAGGTGGAAACCTTCCCGCAGGAGAGCTGGGAACACAGGCTGTCTGGATCTCTACTGGAAAATCAAAGCCTGCTGTCCCAGTTCACTAGTGATTCATCTTGTGCTTCAGAGTCTCACTAGACATCTGATGCTGACTAAACTTCACCAGGGTCCCCACTAAGAGAGATTTCATGTGGAGACGTGACTCCCTGTGTTTGTGTGGATCATATGCATGGCAGAGCTGCGCAGAACGCAGGGCTGCCTTTGTCAGAGCCCCGTTGGGAGCGGGGCAGTGTCTGTACAAGTTCAACAGGAGCCCCAAAGCCCTATTTCACAAACACATCCGGCAAAACAGGCCAGCCCAGACGTGGCTCAGCTCAGCTCTTGAGCTGAGCCACATTCAGATCTGAAACACCCGTGTGCATCAAGAGTCTAAAGGCTGGGAAGATGTCTGGCCTAAAGCCTCTATTAGACTGCCCTCTGCCTCTCGAGCATGGTCCGGGCTAGGAAATCGAATGGCAGGTGAAAACGGTTGTCAGCAATCAGGTGAGCTGGATGGGGGAAGAACATGGGTTACCTGTAATTGTAGACCATGACAAACTGGGTTCATGATTCTATAGTCTTTAATTTCATGATCACATCTGATTTTTTCCACCGGTCCTTGCTTCATTCGGTGCACAGCAGTGGTGCTGGAACAGCTTTTGGAGTGGGGGTGCTGACCTACACCCCTCTTACCCCATCCACGCCCCTCACCACCCCCTAAAGCTGGGGCCAGGAGCAGGGATGTGGCTCTGGGAGAGGGGGGCATGGACAGGGGTAAGGCAGCGGAGGCTGGGCCCACGGCGAGTGGGGTGTAGGGCTGGTGGCCGGGGGGGTCGGTGGCCGAGCAGGACCCTGGGGCTGGCAGTGGAGCCCCTGGGCACAGGGTCGGCGGGCGGGACCCTAGGGCTGGCAGCAGAGCCCCAGGGCCCCGGAGGCCGGGACCGCACAGGCGGGCCAGCAGCCGAGCGGGACTCCAGGGCCGGCAGCAGAGCCCCCGGGGCCAGTGGACGAGCGGGACTCCAGGACCAGCAGATGAAATTCAGTGTTGATAAATGTGAAGCAATGCACATTGGTAAACATAATCCCAATTATACATACAAAATGATGGGGTCTAAATTAGCTGTTACCACTCAAGAAAGAGATCTTGGCGTCACTGTGGGTAGTTCTCTGGAAACATCCACTCAGTGTGCAGTGGTGTCAAAAAAGTGAACAGAAGGTTGAGAATCATTAAGAAAGGGATAGATAATAAGACAGAAAATATCATATTGCCGCTATATAAATCCATGAATACTGTGTGCAGATATAGTTGCCCCATCTCAAAAAAGATATATTGGAATTGGAAAAGATTCAGAAAAGGGCAACAAACATGATTAGGGGGATGGAACAGCTTCCATATGAGGAGAGATTAATAAGATTGGGACTTTTCAGCTTGGAAAAGAGACGACTAAAGGGGGATATGACTAAGGTCTATAAAATCATGACTGGTGTAGATAAAGTAAATAAAGAAGTGTTATTTACTCCTTCTGGTAACACAAGAACTAGGGGTCACCCAATGAAATTAATAGGCAGCAGGTTTAAAACAAACAAAAGGAAGTATTTCTTCACACAACCCACAGTCAACCTGTGGAACTCCTTGTCAGAGGATGTTGTGAAGGCCAAGATTATAACAGGGTTCAGAAAAGAACTAGATACTTTCATAGAGGGTAGGTCCATCAATGGCTATTGGCCAGAATGGGCAGGGTGCAAAACCATGCTCTGAAGTGTTCCTAGCCTCTGACAGAGGCTGCGAATGGGCGACAGGGGATGGATCTCTTGATGATTCCCTGTTCTGTTCAGTCCCTCTAAGGCACCTGGCATTGGCCACTATCGGAAGACAGGTTACTGGCCGTTCTTATGACTGCAGGAAGGGAAGGTCTGTTCTAGTAGATAAGATAGTTGAGTGTGACCCAGGAGAAGTGGGGTCTACCCCTGGCTCTGCCATATGTTCCTGTTGAAATTGGGCAAGTCACTTAAACCAGCATTTTCCAGTGTGTGTGTGTCTCATTTCCTAGGTGCCCAGTGAGAGACACCTGTGGTCTAATTGTCAGGCGTGCTAAGCATTCAGATGTGTAACTGATGTCAATAAGAGAGGAAAAAAATCAGGCACTCTGTGGGCTTTTCGGAGACGGCCATGCAGCATGTCTACAGCCTGGCGTATGCTTTCCTGCAGGTGGCTCTGCGGCATTCCTGGGTTTATGCCATACGAGGAGCTCAATCACACAGAATTAAGGCAATTTTGTTACATTACAGAGACGCTCTTTCTGTTGCCTGGAAAAGAGGCCTAGGCCAAGCGAAAAGAATAAAGGGCCACAGATCAATGCAAAATACCGAATCCCCTTCTTAACCACCTAGCGCAGGGGGCGCACTCGTGAGCCTGGGCCTTTGGCCTCCGCTTCGAACCCTACATCCCCTAACCCTGAAAACAATTAGGAAAAGGAAGCTGCAGTTTCTTCTCTTAAATACAAATAAAAGCAAAACTCCCTTTAATAACTTTCGAAGGTTATTGCAAAAGCAGAGAGAGAGTCATGAAAATATTTAAACCGTCAGGCGCCTGCCTGGCGTTTACCCTCGTACCAAGAGCCCTCGGTGCTTTTACAATACAAGTCGTGATTTCTCACAAATAGGTCCTCAACTGTGCTGTAAAAACTCTGCTGTTAAAGCCAAGTGCTCATGCACCCCCCGTGTCAGCACTGAGAAACACGGTCCGTATAACCACCGCCGTAGCTTTGCAACTAACACCCGCTTCGTGCCTTGCCAGTGTCGATATGCCAGCTGGTTTACTTCCCATCAGCAAGCAGGGACTCCATGCTAGGGCAGATAAAATTCAAGCTGTAAATATTTCCCACACGGCCACAGTGTCTCTCATAAAAATTCTATTCAGCCCTGCCGTCAGCACTGGGGTTGTGCTGGTTGGATGGGAAGGTTTTCCAAGGGGCCCTCATGTTTCAGGCACTGTACGGAGACTCTACTTTGGATTCTGCGACTGAGCAATCAGCAAGGCAGGTCAAAAAACTGGGGCTTTAAAGTCAGGCTCCTAAATCCATATTTCGGCAGCCTGATGAGCAGGCAGATTTTCAGCAGTGCTGTGAGCAGAGCAGCTCCCCCTGGAGGCACTGGACTCTAGTGATCACCCAGCACTTTGTAAAATCTACCCATTTCTTTAGGGGCCTCCCCGGGGCCTTAGGTAGGGTTACCATACGTCCGGATTTTCCCGGACATGTCCGGCTTTTGGGGGCACAAATCCCCGTCCGGGGGGAAATCCCCAAAAGCCGGGCATGTCCGGGAAAATCGGGAGGGAGGGAGGGAGGGCTCGGCCGGGGCCTCTTTGGCCGGGGCCGGTGC